CTTGGGCTTTGTTTTCCTTATACATGACATGCTCTTTGCACAGATATCCTTATGCTTCCTCTTTCCCTTTCCTCTGATCTTTATTCAAACATCTTGTCAGACAGAAGCCCTTCTCTAACTTATTTTCTGTCCTTTGGTGTTGTGTTATGTTATAACCCATGCATATCTCCTATTTATTATATTTGTTCTGTCCCCTTTCATAGACTATAAACTGCATAGATTGTTGTCTTCACTCATTACCATGTACCTAGCATTTCAAATATTCCTGGCACATAGCGAGCATTTTTAAGGAATAAATTATTGGGTGGGTGATGTGCTGTTTTGTTAACAACTTTGTTCATTTGTTCTAATAAATAAAGTTCTTTAATTACTATGTCATGATTTTGTGTCCAAATATGGCTTCTAAAATAAATCAGAGGTATGTTAAAATGGATCTCACTAATACTGTGAACTGTCTCAAAAATATTTTTAAGTAATTTGCAAACTGCAAATCTTGTCTCAGCTGCTATACAAATTAACACTTACTTTTATCTAGTGACATAATTAGGAGCTTTTAATTAAGTAACATTAATGAATGAGACTCTTTTGAGCGGAGAGTTATCTTGGGAAGCTTGTTGAACTGTTCTCTCAAATATCACAGTGTGAAAGGCATGGTACTAAACTACATTCTTATTTGAGTGAGATCTAGGTCCTTATACAAATGTATTCCTTCCTTATATTTTAATTCTTCCAGCTTCAATATTACTAATGTGGATTTCTGGTTATGCTTAACAACCTTCATGTCTCCTTTTTTACTATTAAAATAAAATCCTATCTTATAAGACAAGTATGTTGTGACCTTTAGAATCAAATTACAATCTATTTTTCCTACATTATTTTCTAATATTTTTCCACCATGTTCTCCTATCAGATTGTTGTGCTTACTACTATCTCATATATTTTCCACTTTCTTGTTGTATAACACTCCAGAATCTGGAAGATTTGTTTATGGAGTACATGTCCAGTCTGGAGAATATCAGCACAGAAAACGGAGGTATTATTACCAACGATACAGGCTCTTAAGTTTCTATTAAAGAATTTTAAGGGGCTGGGGATTTAGCTCAGTGGCAAAGCGCCTGCCTGGCAAGCACAAGGTTGTGAGTTCGGTTCCTGATCCCGGAGAAAAACCAAAAAAATAATAATAATAATAATGGAATTTAAGATTATTTTTCCCTTCTTTGTACCCACATTTTTCTTGGGTTGTCACTGAGCCTATATAGTACCCCAGGTTTTGCTTACATGACATTCTGACAACTGAGTTTCACACGTTCTTCGTATGGCATGTGAACTCAACATAACCCTATTCAGTTGGCCCTCTTTAAATCACTGCTTTTCTTTTATCTAAGTATCTCTCAGAGGTACCATCTCTTCTCCACTTCTCCTGCTACTATCTTATAAGATAAGTAGTAGAAGAGGGAGAACATAACCAAGAGAAAGAGTGAAGAATTGTTCCATTTAATTTATTTTCCATACGACTAGCAAAAACTCACTTAAAAATTAAACCTGATGTTCACGTTCCTCCCTAAACAAAATCTTCTCAATGGCTCTCTCCTTTGCCTTCATTATGACCTCAGCTCTGATGTAATTCATTGTGCACCTCCTCTCCAACCTTATTTCTCACAATGTATCATCACACAGCCTGTCCCTCTGTAGACTTTGTACACGTATGCCCTGGGTTGACATCATCATTTCCCAGATTCTCTTAAATAACTGAGATTCCTTCTTCAAGACTCAATTCTGCTGTCTCCCCCTCCTTCAAGTAACCCTCCTCGGCACCTTGGAGTGGAGTGTGTAGATGACAGAGTTTTCTGGTGGCCCTGGGTTTGCCTCCAGCCTCCCTACAGTTACACTAATCTAAATTGCTTAACTTTCGGAGTCTATCTATCTCCCCATAAGTAGACTCAGCCCCTCAGCTCCAGTGAATGGCTCTCCTCTCTGTAGCCATGAGTGCTAAGAATAGTGCCAAGTACTTGTATCCATTTATCTTGCCAATAAAATGATTTCTGATTAATTTCTTTTTTATTCAAAAGTGTCAGACAAGATAAAAGGGAACATAGTACAATTCAATTTAAGCAAAAACAGGATCTCAACGTCTTAATCTATTAATAGAATGTGACCATTTATACTTCGCTATGCATTGTTCTTACATTGCAAAGAATACACAAGAAGATGACTATAAATAAAAGCTATCCATGAGATTATTTTAATTTATCCTCACTGTAAGACTAAAATAAAATAGGCACAAATATTTACCATAAAGGGGATTATCTGGGACCCAGCGTCTCCATGTCATTTAAACAGTCACTGCGCATTCTAGGCTAGGAAACATGGAGACATTCAGACCCTGATGGATTTGGTGTATTTGACAAATGCTTTCCTGAAGGACAACTGGCCACTGTCCTTCTGTCGTGGCCATCTTGAATGTTAACACTGATCATGACAAAGAAGTTTTACTGAAATGAAGGAGCTGTATAAATTGTGAAAGATTCTGAAGACTTCTCATGCCTTTCTCTGGACAGGTTTAAGTATACATTTAATCAGAGGTAATCACTAGAGGGTCCATCCAGTTAGAGATCTATAATCATTAAGTCCCAAATATTCTTAAAATAATGAAAGCCTCCTCTTTCTACAACTCTGATGTCACTCGCCTGGTCACTAAAATGACTCAATGAAATTAACCTTCCTACTATTCCCATCTTTATTCCCTAGATTATGTCAGCAAACGTGTATGCATGTTTTAAGAATCTAAAAGTAGATTTCTTATCAGTCCCTAGGAAATTATCAATTGATTCATCTGTGTATTTTAATGATTTGGCTCTTTGCTTCTCTGAAGAAGCAGAAAACTATTTTAAAGTCTAAGATAGCTGAGACTTCATTACTTGTTGCAAAATAGAATTTATTTGAAGTGGTAGAGTCCCACCAGGGAGTGCTAGCATGAATAATTGCCCTTACAAGCAATCTACCAAAATGAAGTTTCATTGCATTCAGTGATAGGAGCATCTTCAAATGTGATTTACATTTATCGCTAATGAAAATTAGTACATACTTCACACTTCCTGAGTTCTCTATGTCCCTTCTGTAGCAATATAATTTCTTATTGCTTTTATTTGCATTTGTAAGTTATGGAGTAATATTTGTGGCTGGGTGAATCTGTTTTGCTAAGCACTTATACTTGTATCATCTAGTCCTTTAAAATACCTACTATGGTACATTCCACAACTCAATTCAATTTCTTTTAATATGAAATATGTCTTGACTTGCTGTTATGCTTTTATCATAATCCAGTATTTTTTATCTCCAGCTAGAAAAATTCTAATAAGTTTTGCAAATTTATCCAGGGATGGCTTTGATTGAGAAAAAAACTCGAATGATATTAAATAGTAGCAACAATAGCTAGAATATATGTTCCACATCAGAAAATATGGTATGTGCTTTACAAGCATGATTTCCCTTGTCATGGGGGAAGGGTTATTTCCCCCAATTTGCTGAGGACGAAACTGAAGCCTAAAGTTAAGAACATAACATTAAGTGAAATAAATCAGACAGACAAACTTTAAGTAACACATAGTTGCTCTTCTATAAGAAATCCAAAATATAAATAAGTTAATGAGCAAAATAGAAGATAGATAATAGGAGACCAGAAGATAGATCTTTAGCAAAAGGGAAGAGGACCAAGAAAGGGGAAAGGAAACGAAGGGGAAAGAGATGCAAAAAGAATTAAGATGAGTTTTGTGCACACACCAATTCCCCACAATGGATGTAATCATTATGCACTGCAAACATGTACTAATAAATTTTTTTTAGGTTTTTTAAAAAATGGAGTTAAGCTGGGCATGGTGGCACATGCCTGTAATCCCAGCACTTGGGAGGCTGAGGCGGAGGATTGTTGTGAGTTCGAGACCAGTCTGAGCTACAACATGAGCTAGAGGCCAACCTGAACTGCACAGGGGGACCCTGTCACAAAAAGAGGAAAAAAAAAAAATGGAGCTAAGTAAATCCAAGGTCAATGCTGGCAGATGGCTGGGTCAATCTTCAAATGCCAGTGTGTCTGATGCCAAAGCCAGGACTTTTATACTGACATGAAGCCACAGATAAGTGTGTAGAGATGCCACCAACATGTGTTACCTCCTATTTTCTCATCTTCCCAAGCTCAAGAATGACTAAGAATTTTCTTGCATAGTCCATATCAGAACATGTACTGAAAGTGACCTAGTTTACAGGGTTAGGAGTCAGTGTGTCATTTAGTTGGTAATTTTCCCTTCTTTGACTTCTGGCAGAAGTTCTCTCTGGAGCCAAGGCTAATTGTTTTTCTCTAATGATGAAGGAGGAAAGCCTGAGGCTCTCCTGAGAACTGCAAGTTTATTTATCATCTTTTTATTGTTGTTATTCCATGGATGATATCCAACATGCAGCTTTAACTAACCTCATGAGGACAAATATGTTAATTGTTTCCAGTCTACAAGGAGAAACACTGGTAACAAGATTTGGCTACTTCTAATGTTCTGGATGCAGTTTTAAGCAATTATAAAAGTATGTGCATACTTCTTAAAACTTACTCCCATACCAAAAAAATTATTGTGCAGATTTAGTCACAGTCAAATACAGTAGAAATGGAATATAAAATCCTCACAACTTTCATAACTTGGAATGACATGAAAGTGTGTAACACTTTATAACAAAAAAGAGTTAATACATCTCTAATAAATTAAAAGATTTGGCATAAAATTAATTCAAGCACCTGGAGAGAGTGTTAAAATCCAAGGGTGAGAGCTCTTTAGTTCAGTGACATAGAACTATTCTCCTAGAGTCTAAGTTATTAATTCTTGAGGAAAATATAGCTGATGTCTATGTTATAAAAGAGAGTTCCTTTCTATTAAGACAGAGAAGCAAAGATGAGCACTTCTTCCTGCCTTTCGCCTCACTCCTCTTCCTTACTTTTTGCCTTTGCTCCTCTTTGCCAGGTTTCTAGCCAACACCACTTTCAGAGGCCTCAGTGGCTCCATCAGAGTAAAAGGTTCTACCATTATCAGCTCAGAAAACAACTTTTTCATCTGGAATCTGCAACATGACCCTATGGGAAAGCCAATGTGGACACGCTTGGGCAACTGGCAGGGTGGCAAGATTGTCATGGACTACGCAATATGGCCAGAGCAGGCCCAGAGGCACAAAACTCACTTTCAGCACTCGAGTAAACTACACTTAAGAGTAGTAACCCTGATTGAGCACCCATTTGTCTTCACAAGGGAAGTAGATGATGAAGGCCTGTGCCCCGCAGGGCAACTCTGTCTAGACCCTATGACTAATGACTCTTCCATACTGGACAGCCTATTCAATAGTCTCCATAGCAGTAATGATACAGTGCCAATAAAGTTCAAGAAATGCTGCTATGGGTATTGCATTGATTTGCTGGAAAAGCTAGCGGAAGACATGAATTTTGACTTTGACCTATATATTGTTGGGGATGGAAAATATGGAGCCTGGAAAAATGGCCACTGGACCGGGCTGGTGGGTGACCTTCTGAATGGCACTGCCCATATGGCGGTCACTTCCTTCAGCATTAATACTGCACGCAGTCAAGTGATAGATTTCACCAGCCCTTTCTTCTCTACCAGCTTGGGCATCTTAGTGAGGACCCGAGACACAGCAGCTCCCATTGGAGCCTTCATGTGGCCACTCCACTGGACGATGTGGCTGGGGATTTTTGTTGCTCTGCACATCACTGCCATCTTTCTCACGCTGTACGAGTGGAAGAGTCCCTTCGGTATGACGCCCAAGGGCCGAAACAGAAGCAAAGTGTTCTCCTTCTCTTCAGCCTTGAATGTCTGTTATGCCCTCTTGTTTGGTAGAACAGCAGCCATCAAACCCCCAAAATGTTGGACCGGAAGATTTCTAATGAACCTCTGGGCCATTTTCTGTATGTTTTGTCTTTCTACATATACAGCAAACTTGGCTGCTGTCATGGTAGGTGAGAAGATCTATGAAGAGCTTTCTGGAATACATGACCCTAAGGTAATGTTTCCTTTTACTCTGGGTTTCTGTATTGCCTACTGTAACCCGTATGTTGTGTCTTATGCTATGTGTGCCTATCTTCTTCATCTAATGCAAGAATATTCTCTCAGCCACTTACAGAGGTAGCACAAGAGTCCATAGCCTGGTTCAGCCGAATGTTTTGTTTTAGTAAATGAGACAAAGGAGTGAGGAATTTTAGGGGGTTTTTCTTCTAGAGAAAGTACTGTATTTCTCATAGAAAAACTTACTGGTGCAGTTTTCCTTGTGCTGCTTAGTATCTGACAGACTACTGATCAGGGAATAGTCTTCCAGAGTAATGTTTTTACCCAAAGCCAACCTCAAAAACTGATCAGTTCATTCTTGGTAATGAATGGAAATAAGAAGATTCATATTTTAACTAGTAAACTGTATCCTTTGCCATCAAAACTAATTTTAAGAAAGAGGAACTAATATATTATCCTAAGCACACCAAAGTCAGCTGCTAGGAATCACACAGCTACTGAATAAGGGGTGCTGAGCTGGGGTAGTAGGATTAGCTAATGACAGTTTATCATCACAGAGTAAGGGAAGCTATGCATTTCTGACTTTGGGTTGAGAGGAGTGTTCGAGCAATCACATGAGAACATGCAGAGATACTAAAAGAAATTATAACTATCCAGGCTGCCTTTTATATCTTAGACATCGCTTTCCTGGAGTAGAAGAAAGGGGCAGTACAGGCAAACAGGTAAAGTGTGGTGGCAATCAAATAAAAGTAGCAATATCTATCTGCTCCATGGGTTCAAAAGGGTCCCTTTCAGGGACTGGGTATATGGAAAATCCAGCCCACCCGTGGGAATAGTGAGAAGAGAGCTGTCAAAGCCCAGAGCCATTGGAATGGGGCTAAAGGAAGTACTGCATCCCTAATGGGATAGGACGTAGACAGCTCCTGAGCAGAACTGCATTCCAATGTGTAGTGGACACCTGGCAGAGATGGAAGAAAGCTCCAATTCAATGAGAACACTCAGGACACACCGTATTCAAAGCAACTGGTGCTGAACTGAGTCTTTTAAATGGTAAAGCACCCATCACACTCAGGTGCTTCTTGCCACACTAGGTCTCAAGGCACTGAATTATTTACTTTAAATTTATATTAAACATTTAAAATGAACTTCATAGAGCATTAACAAAAAGGACATCTACAACGGTCTTCAACACCTGGTGGAGTGGCCCAGAAGCTTGGCGGCAGCTTCAGAAAACTCTTAGGGATGGTTTTCATTAGGGATGTAAATTCCGTTTTGCAACCAAAAGAGCATTAGAAATTTAACCCATATACTACTACAAATTTTAAGTGGTAAGTGACACAAACCCCACTAACTAGAGAAAACATTGTATTGTTTTTTCATATTTTTTTTTAGGTACTGGGTAGTAAATACAGGTCCTCACATGTGCTAGGCTTTAAGTACTCTACCATGGAACTATATCCCTAGGCCTGTTTTTCTTCTTAATAAACACAGGGATTTATTTTATGAGATGGAATTCAAGTATCACAAATAATATTATTAGCATAAGTAAGTATATCACCACAAAGACAGATTTTGGTGACACCAGCATTCACACTCTGCCGCAGTATTAGCATTCTCTGTCTATCCTTTTCCCCAGTAGTCCTATAGATCTCTTAAAGATTCACAGGCTTGCTAGAGACTTATGCAGACTTTTTACAAAAATCTTGCCAATATGACTTCTAAATTACAAACTCAAAATGGAAGCTATTCAGTCCAATCTAGTACAAAAACAATCTAATATGTGCATGTTATGCAAATTCCAGAACATTATCTTATGTAAAAAGCTGAACACAATACTGACTAGTTTTATTCATCAGAAGAAAGGATTGCCAAAATTAGCTCATTGATGTTATGCATGAAAAAGTTGAAGCAGTGACTATTTTAAAGGATAAAAAGAAAATCAGACAAACCATATGGTTTTTCAGGCAGATACACAATACAGAGCAGTAAAACAATTTTTAATCAAAAAAGGAATAATCATTCCACCACCAACTCTACCAAAATTAAAAAAGTGAAATTTTTAGGAAGTTAACCCAGCCCAAAGGAAAAAAAGATTATAAAACTGGACAAAGTCAGCTTTGTGGTATAGCTGGTCAGTTCGTAAGTGGGGCGAACTAAAATCTAAATTATTTTCAATTTGAGATCATGAAAGTATTTCCAACGAAGATTCAGAAAAGATGTATATATCTATATTATGTTTAAAACATATGCTTAGAATCTGTCATATAGAGGACTTTTTATATATAAAGACACCCAGGCTACTTGGCTACACCAAGTACTTGTCTATTTTTGACACCTGGACTTTTAGGAAAAAATGTTGGTAACAGGATTTTTCAGTTTTCATCCGGATACATGGCATTATGTAACTTCATAATATCCTCATCTTCCCACAGAGAGGTGAGATAAGAATAATTCCCAAACCCCTTGGTCATTCAGCATTTATTCCTTAGTATATCATAATTACTTTTATGGTTGTTTTTCTCTCCTATCAATGATAATTTCTTGAAGGAGAGCTCTATGTTTTTCTTACACTACATGAAATGGAGAAGTTCAGACATATAAGTCATGATTTGGCTGCAGTCAAGTAGGGGAGAGAAAACATAAGTAAATGGCAAAACAATTTAGAAAGTTATAAACATGCCCAAGTTTAGAAATGGAGTCAGTGTTGCCAAGTTCAAGAAAGAAATGAGGAGGATGCACAAATCAACAAAATTGTTCTTATTCTTGAAAAATACTCAAGAATTGGATATGTGCATCCAGAGAGGGGGAAGGACATTCCAAGCAAAGGAAGTGGAAAGGACGAAGCACGTTGAGATAAACTGTAAGGAATTCAGAGGAGCCACAGTATGTTACAGCAGGGTTTGGAGCAGAGATCTAAGCCTGAAAAAAGCAGGTGTAATTGTAACAAAGGATCTATTATGTCAAGCAAAGAAAAGTGAACTACTTCTGATGATGGAACTCCAGCGCCATTTTTGAACAATGGCACAACACAGTGGAGAGGTGTACAGTTAGGATGTCCACTTTGGTGGCAACAAACAAGCAGATTGGAAGAGAAAGAAAATAATCAGAGTTAAAGTTATAGCTGACCCCCAATAGAAGGAAATATGCAATGTATGATCAAATCAGCAAAGGCATGAGAGGCAACATATAGTTACTACTTTAAAGTTACAGTCCCTGGTGGCTGAGAAAATCATGGTACAATCCAAGGATGCAGAACAAAGGGCAGTTTATTGGCTACAATACGTGCTGATCTGATCAGTTTCATTCATAGCATTTTATCGTCTGTTTTGAATACACAGGTTGTTGTAGTCAGGGCTTGCCAGGCAACAGATGTAATGCATGATACATAAATTTATAGGATTATCTTATAATATTCATCCAACAAGTCAAATGCAGAAGAATAGAAAAGATCTGTCCACATGCTAGACACCTGAAAAATCCATCCAGGGGTCTGAATCCCTTAGCAATGCCCCACACGAGTCCAGAGGAAGGCCTAGGGTCCATGGCAATGTCCCATGCAAGTCCCTATCAAGGGTCTGCACCTGAAAAGACCGATAGCCAGTGATGGAAGCTAGAAACTCCATGCCAGTGGGGTGAAAGATCTGCACCAGAGGGCTGCAAGATCTGCACTGGGGTCAGGAAGCCATGCTCAAGACAGAGGCAAAGACCAGATCTCCCCCGAAGAAAGCAGCCATCCCAGGGACAGCAAGGACTCAAACTCCTTAAATGACCAGAACAGCCAAGTTCATATCAGGAAAACCAGCCACATCAAAGCTTCTCCCAGGAAATCAGAAGCATCAGTCGTCTTCTCCTGTTCTCCCTTTATGCCATTCTAGCAACAACCCTCAGGTGGGCCTTCCATGCCCAGAACCAAGCTGACTCATTTCAGTTGGGTGTTCCCACTCAAGCTGACCATTAATTAACCCACCACACAAATGAAGTCCAGTAGGTATTTGGAAACATGGCATCAGAGTTGAGAAATGAGAATGAAACTAGGGGGAATTGTTAATGAGAAACTGAAACTGTGTGATAAAGCCCTATAGGAGCCTGATACCGAAGGGAGAAGGCTGCAGGGAGGAAAAAAATATGTTGTTGGAAGAAAGGCACCAGGAGTAGGGAGCCCCAAGGTGTTGCAAAATAAGATTTGTGGGGAAATGAGGTAGAAGAGAAAGGAAAATGCACCTTATAACAAAGCCATGTCAGTCCATAGACTGAAAATTTTTTTTCAATGCCTGAGTTTTGACTTCTAAGGAAAAGTTTGGTATCATCCTACCTGCCATGCTGAGATTCTTACCCTTGTTATCACAGAAGGCAGAGGCAGATAAATGCCCCATCCAAACCAAGAAAATTAAGGAGTATATGATTTCATGTGTATGTGTATGAGTGTATGTGCAGATGTGTGTATGTGTAAGTATATGTGTGCACGTGTGTGTGTGCATGTGTGTGTGTGTGTTTTCATGTCCAGTGAAACTGGGCTTCTATTGTTTGATTTTTTCCAATATGTTTTAAAATTCCATTTTCACTTTTTAGATTCATTTTGCAGCACTTTAGTTCTGGTGAAGGAGAATTTATCATGTACCTAGAAGTCACAAATCTCTCATATTTGTCTTGGGCCATTTGTTTTTCTGCTGTAAGCTGAAAATCCCCCAAATCAGATTGAGAGGTGACTTTTTATATAGAATATCAGTCACACTCTGAAGATTCTTCCACCCCTGCCTTGCTGCCTTACTTCTCTTCATATCCCTTACCCACTCATCTATAAAATAACAGGGTACCACGTCGTTTTGCCTTTTTCTTCTGGCTTTCACTATTCACTACTCCACTAACCCATCCCAAGCAAACTTTCCTGGGCTTCTGCATTAATACTCTGGAACAAAAAAAAAAAAATACTCTGGAACACCTACATCCTTCCCTTCTCCTGTAATTCTTCTATAATTATCTTGGAATGAACTCTTCAAG